TTACTGCAATCATCATTTGGGCTTTGTTGCTGTTGTTGTTGTGTTTTCTATGGGATTGACGATGTTGAATTATCAAGTGGATAATAGACATACAAGTGATTTCCGTCCGCATTCTTTTTCTGCTGTTGTTGTTGTTGATGATGAAGAGAACGTGTTCCAAGTGTTGTTTTTAGATAATTTGGTAGCAGTAGTAGTAGTAGTGGTAGAATGTCGAAATAATCAATGCATTTCCGTAGAGTACTAAAGTCAACAGGTTTATGGAGGTCTGCTTAACACTTGGGCTTCTGATAAACCTCCATCAATATATGTATATATATATATATTACATATAATTTCTCTTATTCAATTTGTCTAAATCTAGTAAGCTATGATCTCAAATAGTGTCGTTTACTCTGGCAGGTATTTAAAACATTGAGAGTGGAAGACATGAAAAGCCTAGCTAGCTGTCTTCAATCATAGGTGTCTGCATTCTATCTCCCGCGTGAAGTGGTATAATAAGGTGAGCAATATTCAGGTTAGGCATCGAGTGCTAGGTAAGGAGAGGAAATCAATCGACACGGCTGTGAAATTACATCAACTGAGATGGTTAGGACATGTGTTACGTAGGCCCGTCCAGTGATCGCCTTCCTCGACAACAGGCAATGTTAGCTGATATTGGGTCAGGCTGGAAAAGAGCCAGCCGCGGTCAAACCAAAACATGACACTAGTCAATGAAATCTACAATATTTAGTCTAGGCCACGTAGGAAGGTGTAGACTTCCTGACTGGTTGGGGTCCTCGGGACGGTAAAAACCAATGGGTGGAAACAATTGGTGATATGGCTCAAAATTCTCGTTCTCAATGGCTAGAGAAGATGCATCCACTCCTTGTGACTTATGATTTCCAATGAAACTATATTGTTCTTCGTTATTACTATTCCTCTGTCTTACACCTCTGTTTACTGTCTCTAATATGCATTTCTCCTACTTTCTTCTCTTGCTTTGTGTGCTACATGGAGGGAGTGTGGCGACTTGAAGTGCCGCACATATGTGCAAAGTTCTATGTCGAAAACCGACCGACCGAATTTAAAACATTTACAACCTGCTAATTCTCAAGTTTATGTTAAAAATGAGAAAAAGCTGTATCCTCGATGGTGGCTTATCCAAATACATGAGATCATTGTCCCTGAATGGTGTCACTGATTCACAAAATGTACTCCTGAACTTTTTCTAATTGCTATTCGTTAACAAAATTTTGTGTTTTTCTCGAAGAGGAACACAAAGAGATGTATCATAGTGAATTGGTTTGAGATTCAGGTCAGGCAGAGCTGTGTCACACTGTCTACTGTTTTTGATGTAGTTGTGTTCTCTGAGCTGGATAGTTAATTTGCGAAGCTTTCATCGCCCTACTAGGCGACATCTTCAGCGCATACTTCAATTTGTGGAAGTGAGCTTTTAGGTTTCTCCACCAGTTTATTAATCATCTCTCCTGGTGACCTTGGGCGTGAGTGGTTGATTTTGTGTGTTTTCACACCTTCTAGGCTATTTGTGATATTGGAACTGATTGTTTCTTTGACTTGAGCTTTGACCCTCTGTGTGTGTGTGTGTGTGAGGTTTCTTTCTTATCGTTTGATAAATTTTGTCTATCTTGATGTGTCTATTGACTGATGATTTACTGGAATACCAGGCAGCCATCTAAAAATTCTCTAGCATTCTTGTTGTTCCCTCTGTCTAATATTTGAACATTGTCCCAGTCGAATTGATATCCGTGGTTGTCTGAATGCAGTGAGGCGATATGAGGGAGTGGATGTCATGTCTTTTGACGGCTAGTTTGTGGTCATGGATACAAAGACGAAGAGAATGTCGTTCACTTTGGCCAATGTAGTGTTTTTCGCAGACACAGTAATTTATTTTGTAAATGATGTTGGTTTTATCTTCTTTTGTTGCTGAGTCTTTTGGTTGACATAGAACTGAGTGAAGTGATTTTGTTGGTTTGTGTGCGACGTGAATTCCTAAAGGTTTAAAGAGTCTTTATATATGCTAGGACAATTTTCTTTGTGCTTTCCTTGAGGGCTTTTGTTTTGATAGGTTGGCTTGGGGGTATATGTCTTTTGATGAGATTCCGTGGATATTCATTCCTTTGGAAGACGTCCATAAGATATCTTTCTTCAATCTTCCTTAAGGTGGGAGTACTGCAATGAGTCCTGGCTGGCCCTCTTGAATAGTGTTTGTATATCTACTGTCCATTATTCTTTTATGTGAAGATGCTGGACAGACAGAAATAAAATTATTATTATTGAGAAAAGAATAATTTGGATCCAGACTTCATAATAACCAAAAGATTACAATGTACAGACTGTAAACAAAATCTTAATGTTGGTTTTAGATAGTTGGAGGCAATCGGCAGGAAGCCACAGGAAGCATGATGGCCACATTGCAAGCTTGACTGATAGAATTCAGTCTGCAGCGAAGATAGGACTAGACATATTACACTAGTTACTGACTAGTGTGCAATCAAAAATCCTAATGTCTTTGAGATTTTAGCTTTTTTTGACTTCTGAAATTTCATTCTCACTTGTAAAACATTTCATTACACCAGAGAAGACTGAAAAGTCCTCACCAGAGTACTTGTGATGTTTACCAGGAAGAATTCTGACATCATTCTGAAGACTGCATTAAAATAGAATAACTGAGTTGTTTCAACACAGAACCTTGGAGAGATGGGTAGCGATTCAAGTAGCCACTCTCCATATGGCACACAAAGCAATAGAAGAGAATAAAGGGACATTCAGAAGAGGGATAATAAATAGAAATGTAGGACCAAAACAATAGTAATATGGAAAATCAACAGAGTTTTATCGGATATGACAAATCAGAAAGAGTGAATGCATCTCCGCCACTATTGAGAACGACTTTTAGCCATTTCACCAGTTGTCTTCAACCATTGGTTCTTACCATCCCGAAGACCCCTACCAGCAAAGGAGCCTACACCTCCCTAGGTGTCTGGCTGGCTAGAATTAAATGCTAGGGATTTCATTGACTGATGAAGGCATATTTTGGTTTGACCACCACTAGCTCTTTTCCAAGCCAGTCGATCCTATGCCAGCTAACACTATGGGTTGAGGGAGGTGATGACTAAGCTAGAGATGCGTAACACATGTCCTAACCATCTTAATCAGTGTAACTTCACAACGTCATCGACTGGTTTTCCCCCCTTATCTATCGCTGAACGTTTAACCTCAATATTAGTCACCCTGTTGTACAACCTAAAACCGGATACAGAACACCGGCACCTAAGATCACAGACAACAAGCCTGCATTTCCATGTCTTCGATTTTCAGTGGCCATTTCTCACAGCCATAAAGAAGGATGGAGAGAACTGCTAAGCAGCATACACATCCTTTGGTCGGTAATCAACCGGATATCAACGGCAAACCGACAAACTGGTCGTAGAAGCAGCAAAGACAGGACTCTAAGTGAACATAGACAAGACGGAGGTTATGAAAATAACCAACCAACAACAAAAACAGCAGCAACATCCACCGCCAATCACCATCAACGGGATGGATTTGAAAGAGGTTACTTCATTCAATTATCTAGGTAGGGAGCATTGTCTCAACTACAGGAGGAACGGACGAGGATGCCAAATCGATAATCGGGAAGGCGAGAAACACATTCATCAACCTAAAACCAATCTGGAAATCTACGTCACTCCTCAGCATCAACAACAAAATTCGGATTTTCAATACAATCGTCAAGTCAGTCAGTTCTTCTATACGGATCAGAAACTTGGCCAGTGTGTCACAGAGAACATTTCCAACAGCCTGTTTCAGACCTTTATCAACAACTGTCTTCGCTCTATACTCAAAATCAGATGGCCGGAAAGAACAAGAACCAACAAGAAACTATGGGAACAAACAAAACAAGAACCCATCGCCCAACAAATATGCAGGAGAAAGTGGAGATGGATTGGACACTCGTTGAGGAGGAGGCCGTTGGGTGATATCGCGTGTCAGGCCAGTGCTCGTGTGGAACCCGAAAGGGAAGTGGCAAGTGGGACGTGCAAAGGTGACATGGAGGAGATCGTGTGAAGAGGAGTTGAAACAGTATGGACTAACATGGATGCAGGTGAAAAGTGCAGCAGAAGACAGAAGCAAGTGTAGACGTGTATTTGAAGCCCTATGTTCCACTAGGAACCCAATGGAACAATAATAATAATAATGTCAACGGCTACTAAGCCAGAGATGGCGTCACTTGGTAAATGCCACACGAACCTTTTGTATCAATAAGTAGAATATGAAAAGACTACCACGATGTTGAATACGAAATCGATCGTCCAGTGAGATATCTTTTCAGCATTCACATAATGGTCAACCCATTGGTTTTTAAGAGAACCCACCATTCATCCTAGCCTTTTGCAAGACCAGCACTTTGTACAGTACCATCCTATGGCGTAGTCACACTGGTGTTCTATATCCTCAGTGAACCAGAGATATATCTCTCTGGGCAACATATGCACAAGCAGTTATGCATGTCGTCCACATTGCTTAGTTTCTGAGTTCGCTATTTTTTTAGCCGGTCTCAAGCCCAGAAAAAGAGGGTGGTTTTGGGTGGGGGACTAGCGACCCTACCCTAGATAAACAGTAAAACTTCTACAGATACCTCAATGCACAAGAAAAATATTAAAAATACAAGGAATATAAAAAAGCAAACATATTCTTCACTGGATGCGGAGAGACGAAATGACGCGGACTGGTGAAAGCCTTCAGGAAGCCCAGTCAGTCGACGAAAACAAAATAAACATCAGGATGTAAAGTGTTCTTACAATGTACGAAGCTATGAAGGCTGTTCAGACTATTTAGTAGTTAGTGGTTCAGTCTAGTGATATGGTGGTTGTTTTATCGAAAATAGACTAGTATTTTTACTTTAGACAGATTCATTTTGTTACTCGTATTCTTTAATGCTTTTTTGTTCCCCTCTCTTATATACGCCTGTTTTTTGTTTTGTTTTTAATTTATTTTAGATATTGGAGTAGTCTACGTAATTTAGTCGGTTCTCTGCTGGCTAGTTTAAAGTCAATTGTTAGCTTGTTAGTTCTACTCTTTTTATTCATTGTAATATTTGCTCTACTCGGTATGCAATTGTTCGGTGGTCGATTCAATTTTCCACGTGAAGAAAAGCCAAGATCTAATTTTGACAGTTTTTATCAATCGTTGATAACCGTGTTTCAAGTGAGTACAACCAATGGTTTTATAATCCCTACTATAATTTTTTTTGTCAATCAACAGTACGAACTTGAAAGACGTCACCTCGTCCACTTATCTAGGGAGCATTGTTTTAACGACAGGCAGTATGAATGGATGGGACAAACCTGAATCGGAGAGCCAAGATACTCCTTCACCAACCTGAAACCAATTTGGAGATCATCTGTTTCACTCAGCCAGCATAAAGTGTTAGGAAGAGGCAAAACACATGCAATTATCAGGTCATTATCATGTCTCAGTCAAGTTATTATCGCGTTATTAACAAGTCGTTGACATGCAATTGTTCTTGCTTGTGATTGGACGCTTGCACAATTCCAACTCTCAAACGGATTGGTTGATTTCCAGTCTACCTTATTTTCTGTATAAATACAGTCACTTTTGTCATAATAAAGGAACCTGGTTTTACCGCTGATTCTCGCGTGTTCTGCTTTACCAGTTAAGTGGGCACTGGTCAGTAGTTAAGCAGTGACCTCGTGACAAAAGATCTAGCATCATAACATAAAGAACAAGATTTGGATTTTCAACCCAAATATGAAGTTAATCACTTCTTCTATACGGGTAAGGAACTTGCACTGCTCGTCAAGAAAAAGCATCTCCAACAAGTTACAGATGTTTACCAACGGCTGCCAGCTTCGCTGACCGGCTCCATACTGAAGATAAAATAGCAGGCCAGCCAGAGAGAATTAGCAATAAGAAACTCTGTAGTGAAACAAACCAATCAAGAGACGATTGCTCAGCGAAATGTAGGAGAAAATGGAGATGGATCGGGTATACGTTGGGGAGGCCGTCGATTGACACCGTGTACAATGCAGGCCAGTGGTCGAACAGAATCCCATTGGGAAGCGACGAGTGGGTCATCAGTGCGTGGGTGACATGGAGGATATCGTGTGACGAGAGGAGATTAGAGATTATTGGCAATAGTGGATCCGATAAACTCAATCAAAGGAAGATTTGAAATCACTAAAATAAACACACATGATAATGTTTTTGATTGAACACTAGTCAGTAACCAGTGTAATATGTGTGGTCCTATCTTTGGTACAGAATGAATTCATGGGCCATTGGATCGGGTCCCAGAGGCTCAATGGTATGCTAGCTCGCCTTGTAACGAGAAGATCCTGGGTTCGAACCCTCGCGGTGGGTGCGTACTGTGAAGAGTCCTAAACTAGGACGAAATAACTGTCCAGTACTCCCAGGTTTTACAGTGGTTCTCCAACCAATCATACAAAATCCCTATAAATCCAATACTTGAATTCTATCTGTCAAGTTTGCAATATCCAATCAGCCCAACCAAAAATATCCAACACAGTCCCCTACAGAAGGTCAATCGCGAGTTTGAATAGCTAGCTCAGTGATAACGTCTTTGAATGCAGCGTTCACTAGGTGACGCAGGTTCGAATCTCAGACAAGGGACATGACTTCTTTCAAGCTCGCAGATACGCCTTGCTGTGACTGGTGAGTGCCAACTCCAAGCGAAACCTAGGTCCTCAAGGCTTCTTGTAACCGATTGCCTCCAACCATCTAAAACCAAATGATAATGTAGAATAGTAACCATAAATATCTTATTGAAATTCATTTCAAAGCATAAATTTTATTTAAAAATAAGTCAAATAAGTGAGGTTTTATTTTTTTAATTCCTCAACGTTTGAAATTTAACTGATCCTGCGAATCCAGTTACATAGGCCGTACAATTGGGCATGTTTATAGTCGAAGTTCCGAACATCACCCTGCGTGGTTAAGCAAAGGACAAACGAAATCTATTCGCAGCGCTATTCTACCTCATCCTGTGGATACAGAACACAAGATTGACGTCAATCATGCTTTCAGGGTAATTTTACCGCATACCTACGAATCTCAGTTTTGCTTTAAGAGTCCGACTACTAAATATTGTTGAGGCTGTGGGGATCCATATTAACAAGCCTAATTTATGCATGTAAAACAAGTTAGTTCAGACATTCTCCTTACCCCGCTGGTCATCTAGGTTTGAATAATCCGGAATTTTTGTGGAATTTCCCCAATTTTAGTTGATATTCTATTCGCTGTTATATCTTCATTATCATTATAATTTAAGCATCTTTAATGAACTGTAATCCGTTGTGATCTTGCTTAACAAATCGATATTATTTAAAAACACGCCAATATTGTTATTGACGACTATTCTAGAATATTCTATGTATATAAAGTTGTATTTATAACTGTAGAGTAAGAAGAGGAATTTATCGAAAAGAATATTCTTTGCTCGATTATTTTGTGTTTTATAGATGTCTGAATGAATATTTTTGCTATATTGAAGTCTTGAAATAGTAGTTATAATGTTTGTTGACTACCAATCATCCAATTAAAAGATGAGTTAGGCAATTGTTTGGGGCAGAGAAAAGAAAAATTGACAAATTTATAAAACATGCTGAAATGCCGCAAAACTACTATCACTACTACACTAGAAATTTATTTAAGGATTAGTTATAATTCACAATTGCATGCAACTCAACAGAGAATAAATAATTCATCATTGGCAAAAATGGAAGATTCCTGCTAACAACTATTATATAATCTGTTTTTCATGAGCCAAAAACAAAAAAAGGGAAGATTTTCTAGACTAAATTTAAATTACTAAGCAAAGTATATTAGAACAGGAAATGAATGAACGAATTAGGCAAAAAATGGGGAAAAAATACTCAACGAAATAAAAAGCAGTAATTGTCGGCGCAAAAAAAAAGAGGAAGAATTTAACTAGATTTCCTGAGCTCTGATTATTGCCAAGTGAATCATGTGATCCAATGGCAAAATAGAGTTTATATTCTTTTCAAAAGGTTGTCTGTCTTTCTTTGGAAAATTTGAAAAAAAAATTGTCGACTACTTTTCATTTCTCTGTCTCTCTTCCTCTCTGTGTTGTCGATTACCTGAAGATGTTACTATTATTGACCGATTCTTCTCTAACTTTCTAGCTTATTTCACAGGTGTGAGCATAAGTTAACATTTCCTTAGATTTATTATAATAAAGGTATTGTATTGTATTTCCCAGTGAATGAATGAAAAACAAAACGATATTGTTGCTTTTACTGACGTTTCGCTATTTAAGGCTGCTGCTAATAGCTTTATCACAGTGGTATAATTAAACCAGAATTTACAAAATCCACTCAGCATATATATTTTACAAAGAGTTAAGAGGGGTGAGAAAATAGAAAAAAGTTAGGTCAAGTTAAAAGGGCATATTGAAAGTCAAAATAACAATGAAGATGAATGACTAAACCAAATAACAAAGGTAATCGTACATCTGTCATGGTATCGAAACAAAGTTTACTAACTTGATCATCGTTCGTCAGAATGGGGTCATTTTTCGTTGTCAAGTTGGCGAATTGGTAAAGATTGTTGGATTTGATCAGTGTGTATAATTATAAAAGCAGTGTGTGTTTACACAATGAGATTGCTTATCACATTCGTGTTGATTTTGTCATTTCGTGAGGGAGCGGGGTGTTGTAACCAGGTCAAATTCTCTTTTAATTCATCATTCAGACTATTCCGGCAATTTGGCTTCCATTCGATATGAAGTTTTTCTGATGATATGAGACGTTCTTTGTGAATTATGAAATGCTTTTTCCGAATTCTTTCAATATTGTCAAAATCAGTTTTGTGACCTGAGTCCACTGTAGCGTGTAGACAGATCTATGGCTGATGATTTTTCAAGCTTTTCTAGTTCACTAACTGGATTACTCGGTGGTCTAACAGAGTCGGGTCTACGGTGTTCATTTCTTCTGATATTGATTTCTCTCTGGTGGGGTTTGTCCGATTCATATTGCATCACATTGCAAGTATTTTATTTTATCGACACAATTAGATAAAGAGTCTTTAGGGATTAAGTCTTTTATATGGACAAGGTTGCTTTGCAGTGTGTCTGATGTTTTGAAGAAAACTCAAATGTTGAGCTGATTGAGTATTCTTCTGATATCGTCTGTCGTCTGTGCTCTATATGGAATGACGACTGTTGAGGTTCATATTTTTGGAATGTGTTTTTGACCATATACCCAATGCCCAGACTGTCCAGACTGTTTCAACTCCTCTTCACACGATCTCCTCCATGTCACCCTTGAACATCCCACTTGCCCGGCGGCCTCCTCAGCGAGTGTCCAATCCATCTCCACTTTCTCCTGCATATTTGTTGACCGATTGGTCCTTGTTTTGTTTGTCCCCATAGTTTCTTGTTTGTGATTCTTTCCGGCGGCCATCTGACCTTGAGTATAGAACGAAGACAGTTGTTGATAAAGGTCTGCAGTGGCCTGTTGGAAATATTCTTTCTAACCCGCCAGGTTTCTGATCCGCATAGAAGAACTGACTGACTTGATGTTTGTATTGAAAATCCGAGAGTGAATTCGGTAGAGTCCGGAAATCGAATCTCTTGGACACACTGTATGAAACCTGAGTACTTAAGCCAATGAATAGTATATTTACAACGATATAGAATTTCATATGATGATTTAAATATTCTATTGATTTGTATTTTGATTTCTTTTTCTCCACAGATATTAACTAGCGAAGATTGGAATGAAGCAATGTATAATGGAATTCGTTCCTATTCAAACAGTCGTGTTGGTATAATGGTCTGCTTGTATTATGTGATACTGTTTATTTGTGGAAACTGTATCCTTTCCTATGATGATTCAACTATCATTACCCATTGTGGTTAGGATTCCACTTTAAGTACTTTATAGTATATATGTGGCCACAAATATCCTATTGATCACTTCTCATTAAAGCTTTACAGTTAAATAGTGTTTTCAGAAAGGTCATGAAAAACACCGATAGAAGTGAAATACTAAGATCAGTCAGTATTATTGTATTTTTTATAGTTGCTTTGTAAGCATTAGTTTTGTTTTTACGAGTTTATCACGGATTGATATCAATTAGAGAACCATTGAAAACCAGTACCGGAGTACTGGATAGCCAGTCTTTTCATCCCACTAGTTTGGGAATCATCGGTAGTACGTACCCACCACGAAGATTCGAACTCAGGACCTACCGGTTACAAAGCCAGCGAGCTGGTGTACCATTCAGCCACTGGGACCCGATTCAATGGCCAGTGCATGAATTCTAACTTCTACCAATTCGTGACTAGCACGACCCTAACCAATGTCGTTGGTGGGACATCCACTCGCACACTTGACTGGATGGACCTCAATGCCTTCGATTCTTAAACTAGGATGAAACAGTCGGCTGTTCTGTACTTCATTGCTGGTTTTCAATGGTTCTCTAACTGATATAAATCCGTGATGAACTCGTAAAAACAAAACTAATCTTCACAAACCAACTATAGAAAATTAATCTGATGCTTGCTAATAACTTGATACAGGACGGAGTTTCCTGGAGTTCTTGTGAGAAGTCGTAACTAGTGAGGTCCAAACAGTCAAGTGTGAGGATGGATGTCCCACTGATGACATTGATTGGTGCCAGTCGTGCTAAATCACGAATCAGTAGAAGTTAGAATTCATGCACTAGCCATTGGGTCCGAGTGGTATACGAGCTCGCTGGCTTATCAGTTTAGGCATTCGCCTTCTATCCAGTATGTCTCATGTTCGACTCCTGCTTCTTCTGGTATAGCTTGAACATCTGAATAGTATAATCAGCCATTGAAATTTCCGCATGTGTGGAATCTTTGGTCTGGTTAAATGATTCTGAAACATCCACGGTGTGTAGCGACGAAAACTCACTCGTTTTGGTCTGAACACAGGGGACTGATCTCTGTATTCTACTAAGTATACCTGTCCAAAACCTCCTTGAGAGATCTGCACACTCATAAATGTTTCAAAGACAACAAAAAGGCCATATTTCTTCGAAAAATCTGTGTGTGTAGTCTTATTCAATACTAATAATATCAAAAGCTCAACATTGTGGTTAGGCAGCTATACAGAAAAAGTGATTTTCTAAGTACAAAACGAGTACTTAGTATCAAGTAGAATATTCTTAACAAGTTGGGGTACAAAAATTCTGTCTACAAGTATCACACACTAAACAATTCCCACAGACGGTTCAAGATCAGAAGTACCTTGATTCAGTCAAACAAAACAATACATTATCAATGTATCGCACAAACACAAAGAGAAGTAATAAAACTGGAGACTAAACAAGAACAAAAAGAAATAATAAGGATCAAGTCAACATATGAACCGCGAACATCAGAACAATGATACACAGTTTATTTGAAGAACAGACAATAATCACAAAGTTAGTTGAAACATCTAAAAAAGTAATAATACTGTGATTAGATCGCTCACGAGGGATTTTCCAAATGATTTTCCCATTACACTCAGGATGTATCGCCTTTCTTCATTTCTTGTCGCATATTCAGTTCACTTTAGTATTGCAACAACACTATACCCGAGTTGTTGTTGTTTTTCTCCTTACAGCAGCTTTTAGGTGAGATTTTTAGCTGTATACTACCAATCGATCAAATCCCTAAAAACCAAAACTTGAATATCAATGAGATGCTCACTAGCGACTGGCCCTATATAGGTAGGTAGTTACCTGGGTTCTAGTGAAAAAGTCGTGACCAGTAGGCTGCAGCAGGTCGGGTCGCCGAAGACATTGACTAGCGGTCGCACTATGTTGTGAATTGGCAGGATTCGAGATTCAGGGACTGGTCACTGGATGGCGTCCCAGTAGCTGAATGGTCTATAAGCTCATCTTGTAACCAGAAGTTCCTGGGTTCAAACCCCGTGGTAGGTGCTTAATGCGATGAGTTTTAGATTAGATTAGAATGGAACAGCTGTCCAGTACTCCCATTTGGTTTTCCAATAGTTTTCTAACCAATATCAGCTCATGATAAAATCCTGTAACCAATTAATCAATCAAAATCCCTACATACCAAAACTTGCCTACTTATATTTGTTATTCAATGTAGGTTGGATTGATTAAATAGTGAACTTTCAATTTGGTGAACATTTTTCAGGTTGACTGAGATGAAAACTGTTAATTAAGAAATCATTTTATTTCAAACAAACATAAATTTGACTAGTATTCAGTAAAGTTGTAAAATAAAAAAAGGAAAAGTGAGTAAAATCCCCCATTAGGCAGACTGTTCACAATGTCAATATTCATTGGATAATGTTAGGTCAAGATGAAGAAACTAGGGTGTCATGCAAATGAGGAGGTCATCGATAAATTAAAATTAACGGTCAAACTCTATTAGTAAACTTTTTGAATTAATGAATGTTCAAACCACTATCACTTTAAAAAGAATTACAACAACTGCTACTACTAATACCAAAAAAGACATTGCTGATTTCTTTGAGTAATGATTATAAAAATTTAAAACGGTGAACTTTAAAAGAATTTAAAAGAATCTAAGTCATTTTCTAAAAATTTGCCATCAACTAATCATTATTTGACTGTAATGCTTCCATTCTCTGTTTTGAAAGTTGACTTCTAGCACAGACGCTTTGGTGATGATGATGTCTGTAAGTCTTCCGTGATATTATTTATTTGAAGGTGGTAGGGGGGGAGTTGCGTTTTGCCCCACTGAAGGCCCGTCAGCTGGATATACCAAGCATCCTTTGTGGATGGTAGTCTAGCCATTATCATATCCAATGCTCCTCTGGCTTAACTTGAGGCAGGGAAAAATAATACTGGCAGCACAACAGGGGACGGCTTTTTCCGAGTGGATAAAGCTCTAGTGCTTGGAACAGTGGCTGTGTGGTTCAATCCTCAGCGGGAACACCGTGGATTATATTCAGACGACGACGACTTTGAAATTGGACAAGACATCCACACTGGATTTCATTGTTAGTGTCGCTACCAATCAAATACATTACTCCTAAAAAAGCAGAGAAGATTTTTTAGCTCAGGTGGATGGTTTTGAATTAGTTGTGTTCTCTGAGCTGATTCATTTAATTACGAAGCTTTCGTCATCCTTCTAGACAACATCTTCAGCACAGGTGTTAGTGTGGAATGAACTCATCTGAATTCTCTACGTGAATAACATAATTGTGCCTCCTAGCTACCATTGTCGCGACTGGATTTTGTTTTACATCTCTGTTGATCATTTTTGTGGACTTCGAATTTGAGCTTTCTTGTCATGTGATTTCCTTCTTATCAGCCGGTAAATTTACTCTATAGTAATGGGTGTTTGTTAATCGCTGGCTGATACATTTTAGGACCAGGTTTCTAGGAATTCCCTGGCATCACTATTTGGTGTTTTTGCTCTATTTAAAATTTCTACATTATCTCAATCATCAAATTAGTGTCCATAATTATCTGCGTGGACTGATATGAAGGAATATATATCAGGTTTTTTTTACAGCTTATTTGCATTCTTGGATTCGGATTCGAAGGAGATGCCCCAATTTGACTGATGCAATGTTTGTGGCAATTCATACAATTTATTTTGTAAATGGTATTCAATTTATATTCTTTTTCGGTTGAACATTTTGGTTCACACAATTCCGAATGAAGTAATTGTGCTGGTCTCATTTGTATGGAGAAAGCAGTCAAATTCCTTCACTTATCTAGGCAGCATTGTTACGACTGTAGGTGATGACATGCATGAGGATGTCAAAACTAGAATCGGAAAGGTTAGACATACCTCCATCACCTTGAGGTCAGTCTGAAAATCTACTGCATTCAACAAGAAGATCAAACTTCGGATTTCCAACGAAAATATCAATTCAGTTGGTGATTCTATGTGGATCAGAAACTTGCACTGCGCGTCGCGAAAAAGGATTTACAAAAGGCCTTCTAAGAGTTCTATTAACAGCTGCATTCACTGGCTCCGTACTGAAGATCGCATCGTCGACCAGAAAGAATCAACAACAAGAAACTGTGGGAACGAACCTTCCAAAAACCTATTACTCAATAAATATGCCAAGTGGAAATAGAGATAGATAGGACACACTATGAAGAAACCCATTTGGATGACCTCGTCATCTCCCAAGTGGATCCCGAATCGGAAATGACGAGTTGGGTTGTGTTTCGAAGTTGACATGGAGGAGATCACATGAAGAGGAGAAGAAAGCTGCTAATAGGCAATCGTGGTGCTAGTTGAAGATGACTTCAGCGTAGAAAACAAAATGAGGATGTGCTGCTGAAACCCTATGTTCTACTTTAAATCCAAAGGAAAGATAACAATAAATAGTAAAGTATTGGTTTGTAGGGATTTTGAGTGATTGGTTACAGAATTTCATCATGAGCTGACATCTGTCAAAGTACCATTGGGGAACCTGCCAGGGAGTACTGGACAGCTGTTTCGTCCTAGTTTGGGACTCTTCATCAGTGCTCACCCACCACCGGGGTTCGAACCCAGTTGTGGTGGGTACGTACTTCCGAAGAGTCCCAAATTAGGACAAAACAGCTGTCCAGTACTCCCAGTTGGTTTTCCAATGGTTCTCTAACAAATGTCAGCTCATGATGAAATCCTCTGACCAATAAATATTAAACCTGTAAAATCTCCCTGTATGAATGCCTACTGCATACATATGAGTCATTCCACTAAAAGAAATACTTATTGATTAAAAAGCAGTAATATTGACAGTTTAGCAAGACGCCATGATATATTAAGAAATCTCATGGAACTATTAAGTCATTGCATCAGTAATGATAATATACTTGTTCCATAATATTTAAACAATTAATTGAGGGATATTTCCTCTGTGTATGCAATTAAGAGTAAGCAAACACAAAACAGGAACAGTCAACACACATTTATGGAATATTCTCTAATCGCATTTAAGCATATGCTAATTTAGATGTGAAATGGATTGTGAAAATATGCATTTTATACGACTTCTAAGCCTTTATTAGTTTTATATTTTAAAGGTGAATATTCACCATCGCATTTTTAGCCTTTAAGCAAGAAAACATTTCCTACATTTGTAATTTACTTGTTGAGATTTTGTATTTCTGTAAGGATTTTGATTAATCTCAGTATTGATGTCGTCACAAGCCTACATCTCATTGAAAAAGAAGGATTACTAAAGAACATTTTCGTCCTAATTTTTAGGAATCTTCATCAGTGTAGTCCCATGACCCGACTAACTATTAAACCTAGAATGGTCACTTTACAATGCTAGCCTGTTGACTGTTCTGTGAATCGGTCGGAATTCAGTGCTCGTCTATGAGAATTTTGGTTGGAGGAGTTTAAGTTCGTTGATGGTTGATTCCGAACTCAGTGGCTGAATGGTCGGCTATATGGCCTCATCACTTTATGATCATCGTTTAGATGAATGGTGGGGTCATGAGAACTAACTGATGAAGCAAACAGCTCTGTAGAGATGCTTAGTTTCTAAATTTGTCTCTAACTGGTGTAATTTCATGAGGAAATCCACAATGAAATACATTTTTTTTTCATTCCTTTACGTTCCCAGTGGAACATAGGAAGGACTTCAAGCTGGAGCTTTGAAGTTTCCGTAGCAGTGGAATTTATTTATTTTATGGGATGAGTTTTCCAGCCTCATGTCCAACCTTCCGTCTTTACCAGTTTTATTACTGGCTTGACGAGGTAAAGGAGTGCCTCGTCGGCCGGGGGTCGAACTCAGGACCACCACATTGAAATAAACACATGTTTCTAAACCAATTTTGGTTTTCGAATAAATTGATTGGACTGAAGTTGTCAGCCTCTGTTGACATATCGACTCCTAGTACGGACTCTTCAACGATGTCTGAGGATTAGTTTGAAGTAATTTCGCTAGTGGTGACTAGCAATGGAATACAGGATGCATATTTCATTGCATTTTGGTCTCGTTTTCTCCACTTATTTGCATTCCCAGTGAATGATGGTGTTGCCACTGAGACTTGGCACTTGAAAGGATGGATGCTAGTTTAGAGTCTCAATGGCAACACTTTCACTCATTAGGAATGAAGGTACGTCAGACTGATGAAGACTAAATAGGGCGTAATGTGCATCCTGGATTCCACTGTCAGTCACCAAACACTAAATGCCTTGGATTATATATGTTTAATTGGTGGATGGTGACTAGCAGTGGAATCCAGGATGCGCATTTCGTCCATCCTATTTGGGACTCGTCAGCTGGATGTACCTGCATTCTCCAGTAAGTGAGTGATGATGTTCCCACCTAGGTTCGAACCCAGTGCACAAGAGGTGGCTAGCTGTCGTGGCCCAAGTGGTCTAGTGGATAACGCTTTAGCATTTCAAACTATGGGCACTGGGTTCGAGACTCGGTGGTGAAACTTCATCACTCACTGTGGAATGCAGGCACATCCACTAGCTGATGAGTCCCAAATAGGACGGCCGAAATGCACATCGTGGATTCCACTGCCAATCACCATTCACCAATTAACTTCTAATTACATGCCCAATTATCGTCGAAGCATCTCCACGAAAAGCCGACATGTCAACCTGAGACCGAGCACTTCGGTCCAATCAATCGACGGGAAAGTCTAAAGTTCAATTGAATTTTATATGTTTGTTTACTTATCATAAATCGCAAAAGCGTCTTCCTTAACTAATCAATAAATACTATAAATCTGTGAACAGACATTCTACTTAATGTATTCTTGGCTATTGCTGTTGATAATTTGGCTGATACTGGCCAAATGGAAGAGAAAAAAGATGAAGCAACTGATGAAAATGATACAGAACAAGCTGGAACTGGTGGTTCTACAACAGGAGGTGGTGTTGGCGGCGGTGGTGGTACAGAAGACGCGGGAAAAATTGGTAGCGTCGGCAGTGGAAGTTTAGACATTAATAATAAAGAGAATAAATCTTACGGGATGTTAAACAATCGAAAATTATCCAATAATAATAATACAAGTAGTAATCCAGATGGCCAGTTGTCAGAAGTGCATCATGAATTTAATGATGTCACACAATTATTGGATCAATTGAAGTAAGCGTTCAACATTTATTGTTGTTTGTTTGTTTGTTTTTAAACATATATTTTTCGTTGTTTAAATGTGTCTTACCTATGAGACTGTACTGTCTAGCTTACTTTAATCTGTGATTACGTCAATCTATGAACTTATTCCTCAAAACAGAATCAGGTTACAGTTTCATTTCCTCCTTATGTTTTTGACATAAGTATTCATTCGTATGAAATTTATGTTATTGGGCTGAATAAAATTCAATTTGAGCATTAATCATTAGCATCCAGTATTAATATATTAAGTTTAATCATGGACTGACATCAACTAGAGAACCATTGAAAGCTAGAGCGTTCTGGACAGCTGTTTCATCCCTGATTGAGACTCTTCAGCACTACGGAACTGGCCGGGTTAGAGCCTAGGAGTTCCCAGTTACAAGGCAAGCTCTTAGACCATTCAGATCCTGTGATCCTTGAATTCCAGCTTCTATCATTTCGTAATTCTAGCGCCAGTCCCAAACTAGAACGAAGCAACGGTTCATTACTCTCTCGGTGGTGGTTTTCAATGGTTCCCTGACTTACATCCATCCTTGATCAAATTTCAAACGAACTTCAAATCATATCCTCACAAACCAACTCCTGAAATATAGGATATTAACTGTCATTCTTGGCCATTGAATTTTTTTAGATCTGATGTTTAGCCTAATACTGTGTTTATTCATATTCATATCCTTTATATGAAACTTGTTTTTACTGATATACACCTCTTAGATTTTGTGATCTTAGTGATTTGACATCATGAAAAACACAATATTGGTCGACAGCCAGCCGGATATCACGTCTACTAAGCCAGAGATGGCTTAAATTGGCACATACCAAACGAGCCTTCTGTATCCGTGCTAAGATTCCATCAGTGATCAACGCGCTGAGGCTAGTGCAACTTCTCAAATAAGTGAAGTGGTCGGCGTGCTCTACTAATTCACTCCCTATTTCTAAGCGCTAGGAGACAATGTAGTCCAGTCCATCTTATATCTGATGGAAGCAAATCGCATACCAAACATTCTAAGATTGCTGCTGCTCAAAGTGTTCAGAAGACTCTGAATTTTGTCAGCGTCTTCATCTAGGATGGAGGACCATATCATCTGTTTGTTCTAATTCAACAAGACTATTCGCTGGTATAAAATCAATTCCTAAGTTGATGAAGTCACTAAAATTGCATGGAGGATTTCATCATGAGCTGACATGAGTTACAGAACCACTGGAAAACCAGCTTGGAGTACTGGACAGCTGCTTCCTCCGTCCTAGTTTGGGACTCTTCATCAGTACGCACCCACCGGGGTTCGAACCCAGCACCAATAGTTAAAAATTATTCTAATGCTCACTAGGGACTGGCCCTATTCAGGCAGTTAACCTGGGGTTCTAATTGGAAGCCGTAAAGAGTAGTGTACAGCAGGTTGAAGATGAGTCAGTAACTCATCGAAGAAGACATCGCGAAATGGTCGTGCTATGTCGTGAATTGGCAGAAGTTAGAATTCAAGGACCATTGGATCAAGTGACAGAGGCTTTATTGTCTACGAGCTCACTGGCTTTGTAACCAGACGCAGTGTGGGTGCGTACTGCTGAAGAGTCCCAAACTAGGTTTGTGGAAACAGCTGTCCAGTACTCCTAGGTTTTCCAATGGTTCTCTAACTGATGTCATCTCATGATGAAATCCTCCATGCAATGAAACAAAATCCCTACAAAACCAATACTTGAGAAGTCACCTAGAGTCAATCCCATTGGTGAATCTGTGATGTAATTAGACAGGAACGGGGCATTCCTGCCAGACACCACTGGCTGTCAGCATCACTTCAGATGCCAACTCTACGTGGGATCTCACCTGGCAGGTTGCATGAGTTCGAGTTGAGTGCCTTGTTTATTGCGATGTATTTTCTCGGCATTCTCTTCCCAGCCAAACATCGCCACAGTATCTCTCGATCGAATACTGCTTTCAGGTCAAGAAATAAGATAACTATTAGGCTCCTCTAATTTTGCTTACGTTCCAGACATAAGATTCTACATGCGAAATTTCAAATTATGCTTAAGATTAACTTTGCCTGATAACTGGAAATAAATAGAGTTTAGTAAGTAATACCATACGACTGTGTGTTTCAAGAAACATAATTCAGAGTGTGTTTAAACTCAACCGGTTTTTATATCCCAAGTTTGTTAGTATCGTTTGTAATGAAATAAAACTTTCGTTGAAGAGTGTTAGATTGATGTTCATGAATAACCTTCATTTAGGCAAGATTAAAAAAGAACAAAAACAGAAGTGATGAGTTGTCATGCGCATACTTGTCAATACTAATCAGTCAATAAGAGGAGTTTAATATGTTTATTACATTTATTCAGTAAGATGAATTACTTAATGAATGAGTTGTGTTCACGGTACATATATAGAACCGAAAGACAGTTTGAAATTAAGTAAGATTTCAGAAGGAATTCAAGAGATATAAAGAGTTAAAAAAAGGCAAACAAATAAAGTCAAGTTGGTAATGTACACCAAGGTTGTTACCATTGCAGCCAGAGAAGACAAGAAACTGGTTCTTAACGGGATTTGATATGCACATATAGAGAAATTATCGTCATTTGCACAGATCTTCATTGTTGTACTACTTCTTTCCTTCGTAATGTGTTTCTTTGTCTTCTTTTTGTGTCTTCCATATTTTCGCTACGATACTGGTTTATTTCCTCCCTTAGATATCAAATCTATCTCTCCACTGTTTCATATTTTTTGCGCGGATGAACGTCTCTTCACATACTACTGATAAATCTTGTCAGTAGAAGTGTCTGAATAATTTTCCTTTCTTAAATTCATATTACTCCTTTGCTGTCTACAAGCACTTTGAATTCTATTGCTTGATAATATCGAGCCGTCCATTCAAGATTCCGATATGCCAAAATCACAGTGATCTTTTCAATTCACGAGATGCAGAAATGAAAAATCGAAACTATATGAGAGAAAAATTGGAGAACTGTTAAAAAACTTAATTTCCAAGAGTTACTTTGTAGAGATTCGATTGATTTCAAGTTTGATCGTTAGCTGACCTCAGTAAGAGAACCACTGGACAACTGGACATTACTCAAGCGTTGGTTTACGGGGATTTGAATTGATTGGTTACGGAGTTTCATCATCAGGTAACATCAGTTAGACAATCATTGTGAAAACCAGGGAGTATAAGAGAGTTGTCTCGTACGAGCTTTGAACTCTTCATCCCTACTCACCTACCACAGGAGTTCAAACCAAAGACCTTCCAGTTACAAGGTGTTTTTATAGACTACTCGATGCAGTGATCCATGAATACCAACTTCTATCAATTTACTATATAGCGTGACCTGTATTTGGAATTCATCAGTCATTGGATCCAGTCCCCGTGGCTTAATAGTCTATGAGCTTGCCTTGTAACTGTAAGGTCCTTGGTTTGAACCTCTGTGGTAAATGGACACTGATGATGAAGAGTCCTAAACTAGGATGAAACAGCTATGCAGCACTCTCAGGTTTCCCAATAGTTCTCTAACCGATATCAACTCATGATTAAACTCCTACAAATTAGTCGATTTACAATTCCATTCTTAGTTATTTAATAATGTTAACGAAAGAAAGTAGAGATAATCCAGCAATAATATTGCTTGTGTTTTCTTTTATCTAAACGTCTTCTCTTTCTGCTTTATTTGGAATTTTTTCCTAAATTGAGATTATATCTTCTGAACAAGGTTATTTAGATAAGAGAGCTAATATATATAGGTCACCCTTACTGTCGTTAACTTCACCAGATAACTAAAAGCTGAGCAGCGTTTCTGGCAAAACTCTTTGAGCCTATATATATATATATATATACCGTAGTTTTTAAAACAAAAGCGCCTGCCTTCTTATCTTCATGTACTATGTCAACAGAAATGAGAAATAAAATAAACACTAGATGAATCTTGCAGTAAAACACTTGATAAACCTGACCATCTGTTCATATATATATTCTCCTGATGGTTACTTATAGCGAATTACTGTGAATTGTTCGTAGATTTATTTATCATCCTGCATTTATCTTTCTTAGGACTTAGAAACATATCCTAAGACTACTTTTGATCTTTCTTTTTTTTGCACGACTCTCGGGTACAACTATTTTATACCATTCGAGTAAACATTATTCGAACTGATTTTATGCCCTAATAAAATAACAATTTTCCCCTCTAAAATACAACCTATGCATGTATGATGATTGATGATTGAAGGTGAAGTTGAAATCTGCACAACAGCAGGATCATTACTTCACTGAGATCACAATAACTAATGTCTAACTTCTGTCCTATGAATGAAGGAATGATACCTTATTACCGTCCATTTATCATCCAACTTACTGTCCAGCTTGGTCTCCTGCTGTCAATCCCACTCATACTGAGTTAGAAGGAGACATTAGTTTGTAATTAATTGATGATGTGACTAATTGAAATTGTTCCGCCTTGGAAAACTGTAATTAATATGAAACGTCATAACCTGATGTGCAGTTAACTCTCGCTGCTCAGCCTAGTACATCGCTGGACTATTAATTCATCGGTCTCTGAATCAGATCCCCATTGTTCCCTACTGTTGTGAGTGAAACATACGACTTCAAATATATATCTTCTGCTTGGTCTTCTTCTCTGCGGTCTCCAAGATTGCCCACAGGCTTTCTTTCATCTCCTTCATTTCATGCTGGGATACACACCTAACTAGTCCTTTCGCATTCACCTTCCACGCGATATTATTGGACAGTCTCCTCATCGTGTTCCTGATCCATCTCCAGTTTGTTAAGCGATAGGTTCTAGGTTGGTTCGTTCCCAGCCAATTCTTTTTGGCCATTTGATTTTCACTACTAAGCTAAGGCAGATGTTCATAAAAGTGTGACGCTCCAAATTTCTCACGCACATAGAGGAAGCAACAGGCAAGATAATTTTGTTGGAAATCCAAATTCTGTTCTTTATTGTGATTGTGTGTAGAAGATTTCCAAACT